CAAATTGTATTTGCCAGATACTGAAAGCACTCACTATTTGTCAGGATTTTTTTCTGAGCACTTAGAACTTATTTACATCTCCCCAAATACTCTGAGGTGCATATTATTATCCCCATTTTAAGGATCCCCATTTGAGACAAAGGTTAAGTCACTTGCCTAAGGTCACACAGCTGGTAGGCAGAATTAGGTTTTGAAAGCAGACAGTTTGACTGCAGAGTTGAACCACCACACTGGTGATTATAGAATCTAGCATGTATCTCACAATTTGGGTCCCCTTTGTGTCCTTGCACATGTAGTTTTAATGAAGGAAACCTCACACCTGTCCAAACATCAGATCCCTGTGATTTACCGTGTGGACGGTTAAACTAAGTCCTATATTTCAGTATCAGTATTGAAAGATGGCAATATTTAATTTTCAATATGGTATTGTCAAACATTTTTTTTTAAGATTTTTATTTATTTGAGAGTGAGAGAGAGAGCATGAGCCACAGGAGGGGCAGAGAAGCAGACTGCCCACTGAGCAGGGAGCCAGACATGGGACTTGATCCCAGGACTCTGGGATCACTACCTGAGCCGAAGGCAGACGCTTAACTGATTGAGCCACCCAGGTGCCCTGTCAAACTTTGTTTTAAAGATTGTATTTGAGAGAGAGAGAGAGCACGCGAGAGAGCACGAGTGGGACGGGGGGTGGGGCACGGGACAGAGAGCGAGAGGGAGAAGCAGACTCCTTCCCCAACAGGGAGCCTGTTGTGGGGCTCGATTCCTGGATCCTGAGATCATGACCTGAACTGAAGGCAGACGCTTAACCGACTGAACCACCCAGGTGCCCCTCAAACATTTTTCTCTAAAAGTTTCTGAGTGTTCAATCAGGCTTGGCATTGAGTCTGGGAAAGAAGTACATTCTTCCATTCCCCTGAAGAGTGCATTCAACTCAGCAAGAAGATCTGCAATCTTATGCCTGCTACTCCGACGATATTTATTTTTTTAAGTTTTAAGGCTTTCACCTATTACAGTTGAAAGTCCTATTGGGGGAGAGTAGCTTGTACATGTGAGGTTTCATTGACTGTTTTCTAATTAGTATTGAAGATGGTGGTAGGCAGAGTAATGGCCCCCCCAAAGGTTTCACATCCCAATCCCCAGAATCGGTGTAACCCTTATGTTCTATGGTAAGAGGGAATTAAGTTTGCAGATCAGCTGATGTTACCATATGAAGATTAGCCTGGATTATCTGGTTGGACCCAGTGGAAAAGAGAAGGCCAAGAGTCAGAACCAGAGAGTCAGAACTAACAGAGCTTTGAGTTTAAAAATGTCAAAGGACCATTGCTGCCTTTGAAGATGGAAGGGGGCTACGAGCCAAGGAATGTATGCAGTTTCTAGAAGCTGGAAAAGGCAGGGAACTAGATTCTTCCTTAGGGCCTCCGGAAAAGAATGCGGCCCCACTGACACTTGGATTCTAGCCCAGTGCAACCCATTTTGTACTTCTGACCTCTAGAACTGTAGAAAATAAATGTGTGTTGTTGAAGCCACTGGAATTTGTAGTAACTTGTTACAGCAGCAAAGGGAAACTAATAGAGTTACCAGAACAATCTGCGTTTGGTTCTGTTCCTTAGGCCAGCCCCAGGAAAGCTGCTTAATCTCATGATTTATGGTTATGGGCACATCAGGTGTAGCAAGTGTTTGCATTTTGGGGGCTATCCTATTTTATGTGCAAAAATAATGACTTTGGGGGTAGAGGGAATTAACTTGATAATTCTATACATTTTTACACTTAGCAAATGTTTAAAATGCCAGTACCAAGGTTTTAGCAAAAAAAAAAAGTCTATGGGTTTTGGAGCAAGTAGCACCCCTTTGCGCCTTTTCCATCAGAGTTGCTGGACAGCAATATGGCTGCACCCCATGGAGTGGTGGTCACCACCCTGCATTTGTTTGGGGGTAAGATGATAGTCCAAGTGTGGTAGAGCTGATCACTTGAGTTTTGACTCCAGATTCCCTTTAATTTTGTAAAATTTGCTCTTTGCTTATCTAGCAATGTTAATATGCATTCTCTGAGAGCAAGGATACGTCTGTGCAAGGGCTTCCCAAACTATAACGAATTAAATAAAAGATGGTATCGTTCATTGGATCATCTATAGTAAGTATCCAAAGGGTTATAGGCCCCCTGAGTAGGTGATATCTTGGAATTGAAGCATCAATTATTGACATTAAAAATAACAATTTTAATGGATGGGTTTTTTTTTTTTAAAGGAATCCTCCCATAACTAATCTTACATTGTGATCTGGAGACAACTTCCATTAATTAAGGGTCTCTCCTTTGTTACAACGTAGAGATAGCAGTGTAAGGAATAAAATCTTGGGAATTTTCCCATATAAAAAATGAAATAGGGGGTAATGGAAGATTTTTTAAAATAATTTTAAAGAAATATGGGTGGAAAAATTAGCTGGATGGCGCATATATATATATATATGTATACATATATATATATATATGGCAGTTTCGGGGGGGAAGAGACTGCTTTGTATAGAAATATTTTAGGGATGCCTGGGTGGCTCAGTCGTTAAGCGTCTGCCTTCAGCTCAAGTCAGGATGCCAGGGTCCTGTGGGTCGAGCCCCGCATCCGGCTCCCTGCTCCGCGGGAAGCCTGCTTCTCCCTCTCCCGCTCCCCCTGCTCGTGTTCCCTCTCTCGCTGTGTCTCTCTCTGTCAATCAAATAAATAAAATCTTTAAAAATATATATTTTAAATACTGGAAACTCTTAAAACCAAGAGCTAGGACATTTTCTTATTTGCATTTCCTTTAAATATACACTTTTTAGATTTGGAGTCACTGTGTTAGTTTAGGGGGGAAATTATAGACGTATAAGAAAAGTAGGATTGATTTCCTCTTATAAATGTGAAGGTTTGGAAAAAACTCAAAATGATGTGGAGGAAAGAAAGTTTTGGTCTGTGTTCTGAAATGCTTTGGGCGGAGATTTTTCTAGGCTCTCGCTTCTCTAGTCTAGGAACTTCCTGAGCCTCGGCTCTGGGGGTGCAGTGCCCCTATACAACTCTTGACTCATTTGCTTGCATTTTATCCCCATCAAGTAATTCTTGGTGAATGGTTCACTTTTCCCTGCCAATATCTCCATAGCAGAATGAGGATGTCTATGTTATGCAGGAGGCCTGGTAACCTTCACTCGTACCAGAAGGTATCTATCCCATCTCCTAGCCATCATTGATAAGTTAATAGACTGAGGTTTTCTGTTGCCTCTTTCATTAGTATGAATCAGCTCCCGAGCTTATCTCTCCTGGGTGAACTGATGAAAGAGTTTCTGGGCAAAGATGAGACCTGGGACCAATGTACTGCCCTGCCCTCCCCCTCAGGAGGTAACCATCCACTAAGAACCCAGGGTTGTCCAGTAGAAATACAGATGAGCCACACATGATAGTAACATACATAATTTGAGTTTTCCGCCAGCCACATTTTTTTTAATAAAAAGTTAAAAGAAGTGAAATTAATTTTAAGAACATATTTTAACTCAATATGTCAAAATGTTATTTCATATTATCCATTATGATCAATCTAAAAATTCTTGACGTTTATACATTTTTTTCTAAATCTTTGAAATCCGGCATGTATTCTGCTCTCACAGCACATCTCTACATGGATTGACCACGTCCCAGGTGCTTAGTCGCCACGTGTGGCTAGCAGCTACTCTATTGCGCAGTGCATCTCTGACCAGCTTTATCCTTACGCAGCAATACCCTCCGTGAATCTGGAGAGAATTCTTTAATAGTTGCCATCCAGTAATTCTGGTATGTTATATAAAAACTGAATGATGTCATGGAGTCGCCTTGGTGAGCTCCAGAGAAAGATGGTTCTGGTGCCTTTTGCTAGAACGAGTGAACAACAGGCTGAACAGTACAGTAGAACATGTCTCTAAGGTTGTCGGTAATGTAAATGTGTGAATTTCAATGTCAGGAGGTGTGCCTGGGCCTAGAAAAGAATTAGATAATTAGGCTCATGCCTACAGAAAAGATGACTGTTCACCTGCATGTGTGAGCTGTGATACCATGGGATGTGTGTGGCGTCTGGCCTGGCCTCAGCCCCTGGGCTTCAGGGCATTTAACTCCTCTCGTTTCTCACCTCACTGTCCGACCTGTTTATCTGCCACTGTCTTCATCCTGTCCTAGCCCTGTTTATATATATAATGCTGCTCACTTGTTACGCCCTCGCTCAGTTGCTTATTGTAACAATTTGAGAAGCAAGACTCCTGTAAAGCCTAGATGACAGAAACCATCACTTGATATCAAATATCCGTCTGCCAGGAACTTAAAATTAGAGTATAAGAAGGCCTAGGCACGGAGTGAGAGGGAGAGAAGGAAGGGAAGGGTGCAGGTCTGTGTGGGAAAGTAACTAAAAGCAGAGGGTTCAGAGCAAAAAATTCCCCAGTTCCTGGGCAAGCCACTGTTGTCACGAAATTCCAAGATAGGTTGCTTTGGGTTTCATAAATGTATTGACTGATGCAAACACCTCCATGACACAGATGTTTGAGACATAGTCCCAAGCCCTCCTCAGTTCCTTCTGAAATTGATTAATACACTAAACAGTGTTTTGAGCACTTGCTATGTGCTAGACTTTATTCTTGATCGTAGGGAGTCAGTGAACAGGAGTCGAGGTTTCTACCCTCCTGGAGACTGTTGGAGTTGATGTGTTGAGAGAAGAAAAGGTGCTGCAAAGAAAGGTTGAGCCATGTAAACAAGTAAGACCAATACCTGAACAAGGTCAAGTTCAGGTTGGACCTGTTCTTTAGAGGCAGCATGGTCACCTGGTGGAGAGTGACTGGGAAAGCCTGCTCCAGCCCAGTCAGGAGAGGCTCCTTGGAAGCCGCGGGACTCGCACTGAGGTGTAAAGCATGAGAGGGAAGGGCGTGTGCTTGGTCACACAAGGAGCGGGTGGGGGAAGTGGTGAGGCCGGCAGGATCCGGCGGGGTGGGGCTTTGCAGACTTGGTCGGGAGGATGAGTCCTCTTGCAAATGCAGTGAGAAGGTGTCGCAAAGCAGTCTAAAATAAGGAGCAGGCATGATTTACATTGGTGACAGACTCCGGGGGCTGGGCAGAGAAGGAAGCAGAAGGGGCCAAGAGTAAAAGCAGGATCAGTTGTGAGGCCACTGCCCGAGGACGGATGTGGCCAGCAGCAAGAAGAAGGCAGGGTTGGAGAGGGAGAGCCCTGGATGGATTGCAGAGGGACGGAGGTAGGACTGACATGATTTATGGCGGGGCTTGGATGAGTGACGCAAGCGAGCAGAAGTCAAGCAGGACTCCCAGGTGAGAGAGTTGCGGGGAATGGAGTTCTGTTCTGGCCACCGGTTAGTTTGAGTTGCCTGTTAGCCCTTCCTAAGGGAGACAGATGTCGGCCAGTCGTGACTGAGGGACCTGCACTCAGGGGTGAGGTCAGGGTCTGAGCTGTTTGGGGCATCTGCCATCACCTAGGGGGATTTCACAGGCAGAGAAGAGAGCCAGAGATCAGGCTCCAAGCAATGGCGGGAGTTGAGAGATGGAGTAGGAGACCATGGAGGAACCAGTGAGGCGGGAGGAGGACCAGAAGAGACGCCGACAGAATCCGGTGTCTAGAGCAGGATAGGGTAATCAGTGCTGTTGTAAGTTCCTGAGAAGTTGAGTAAGAGAACACAGTATTTGCTGGGTTTACCAATATGGAGGATGCCTTTAGGTGGTGATCTTGTTTTTTAGAGAAGTGACTTAAGGCACAAATGATTTGACCTCCAGCGTCTCCTGCGGTGGACTTTCCTCGCTCACTCCCTTCTCCACATCATCCCTGCGGCCTAGGTGTTCTCCCTTTGTTCCAGAAGTACTGAGGCCTTTCTCTGTTCCCGGACTGCCATATCGGAACATGATTTTAGGTTCTTTCAGACTGAGCTCCTTAACAGCAAAATTTATAGGGTGGTGGTTTTGTTTTGTTTTGTTTTGTTTGTACATCCTAGCATGATGCAGACACTCAATACGCATTTTCTGAATTGATGCGTTGAGTATTTTTGAATACTGTGTTCTTGCTTGTGTAATTTACCCCTGTGTTGTGGCAGGCAGAGCCAGGGAAGAGCACGGAAGTTTTCACATTCTCAGTCTGCTGCCCTCTGCCTTCTATAGCTGTGGTCTTGCTGGGCTGAGGTTAGCTTTTGCTCAGGTTTGGCCCCTCCCCCCCCCCCCCTCCTCCCCCCCCCCCCCGCACCGCTTACCAGAGGCTGCTTTGGAAGCCTTGCTTAGCTCTGGGCTTCCCTCCGTCCTCTCTTCTTGGCCCTTTCTCGCATACCTTGTACCTTCTTGGGAGCCACATGCGAGCACCTGTGGAGATCACTTCCCTATTTCAGAAACCCCTTTCTTGTCCCCACCTTCAAATTCTTTGGGTGAAGTCATCTGCAATTACTCCATACAATTTACCTGCCACTTTCACCCCATTGCATACTTAACGGGTCTTAAAGGCCTTGAAGCAACTGATTAGAGCAAGAGGGTTCTTTTTAGCAAGTTTTTTTTCTCCTCCGTGTGTGTGTGTGTGTGTGTGTGTGTGTGTGTGTGTGTGTGTGTG